GAAATATACCGCAAAAATTGGATGGTAGCGTGATGTGCCGCGTCGTATCAGCTTCTCTCTACTCAAGATGGTACTTGTAGTATAATGCTCATTTGAAACAACGATACCTCTGCCACTGAGTTATTGTTTTATCATCCTCATCTATGGCTCTGGGTGCTTAAACAACAAAACAGCCAAGATTTATGATATCTGAACTTTAGAAATGGTACCTCAGATCAGTCATAGATAAGCTTGACAGATGCGTCCATTGTGAAAATTTCGTTGGTTGCATGAAGAATATTGCGCGAAGTATTTGGCGTACTCCTAACTAAAAGCAAATAGACGACGACTCAGATAACATTAGAATGAAAATAAGCAAATTAAGACCATTTTTATTTCCTGGGTGGAACAGGATTGCGGAACGGGGCATAACGCACTGCCTAAAATTGTCTAATTGGTGCTATTCCATTGCGTTCGAAACAAGGTTAACGGTCTGAAGAAAGAATAATAACTGCAGCGCTTTTTCTGGCACAGACGAAAAGAATATGCGTAACGTACGTTGGACTGACGACAGTAAAGAATGAGCAGAAAGGCATGAATGGTAGAACGAGATGCTCCTTCATCGCATCTGTTCTTTGCATGAACATTGACTCCAGGATATGACACCACTTTGGCGAAAGAATCCTGATCGTTAGCGAGTATACAAGTAATAACAAAGATGTCGAAGTACAACTAAGAAGGTACTATAAGACAGGTATAACTGCTGCAGAGTACTATATCACACGTTTTATCCTTGGAACATAACGGAACAGTTGTATATCTTTCGTCTGGATTTTAGCTGCAGTGGAATCACCTTCCTCTCCCGTTATGTCAGCAGGGGTAGCGGTTTGACCACTGTTTCTTTGCTTTGTTTTTACTGGTTTTCGTTTCTTGGATCACCAAGGTACTCAATGTTTTGCTGGTATGTGCTTCTAGCCTTTGTTCAGACGCCTTATTCGCCATCTTTGTCTTTTGATCTCCTAGTTATTAGACATTCTTGATTGATTGGTTTGTTTGGTGCACGTAATATGTTACAAAAACCGTATGGAGTTGAATTGGTCCCTTTTTTCATCTTAAACAATTTGAGCTGTTTTGGCTGTGCTGTCAAAGTGACTTCTTGTCAAGTGAAACCTTAATCGACTAGGAAGTGCGAATCTAGGTGGAGAATGATTGTCATAAGATATTTTTAATGACAAATGAACTTACCGACGAAAAGGGAAATACCGAACACCTGCATGGTGGGAATGATGGCCTCGGCGGCAGCAAAGGCCACCGAGTGCATCGCTAGCCACTCGTTACAGATGGCCAAGGGTAATACGGTAGGAATGGTGGCGACGACGGCCGACGTGCAAAGAATGGTTCCTGTCCAGATGAGGAACAGGATGGCGATTGAACAGGTTGCTCTGCGCCTGTCGTCGTAGCTGTTCATCTGCATGGCGGCGTAGAAGCGTTCGACTTGCAGCGCGAAGAATGAGGCGATCAGTGAGAAGACGGTTGTCATCAAGACGCCAGTCTGAAATGAGCATAGTGGCGGATAATGCGAGGCGCTGATCCAACAAGGTCTTCTGCGAAATACGGACACAATCGTCACGATACCCTTTGCGGTGAGGTAGAGGCCGCTGACCACAAGACATGCCGAGATGTTGCCAAGAAGATTGCGCACGTTGACATGTAGGCAACGCGAGCGCGACAACAAATACAAAAATAGGAGGTTGAATGCCAGAGACGACGGCGCCAAAATCAGCTTCACTACCTCGCCGCCCCAGAACCACGGATCTTGCAGTAACTGCGTCGTTTCATTGCAACTCATGAGGTGGTGCGGCGAAGTTGTGGTCGTGGTTGTCGTCATCGTCATCGTCAGTTGCCGTTGGTCGTTGTTGTCGGCGGTCGGTCGGTCGGTCAGCGGGCTGGACGAATCCAGCCCTCAGACGATGACAGAGGCGATTATGTTCATTTCAGGATTGACGATTGACGATCAATCGAGTCGCCCGCTATCTGCTTCGCCACTACCACCAGTTCTCGGTTATTTCGCATGGGGTATCGTCGTGGTGTTTCTGCTTGGAAGATCGTATTGACTGGTCGTGCGATCGCGCAGTGCGAATTAATGTCAAGCAGCAGCCGACGGACATCGAAGCGAAGATGAGGACGAACGTGAAAATGTCGAGGCAACAGACAACACGACCACGACGCGCTTGTCTTCTTCGTAGTCGTTGTTGTGGCGAGTGATTACGTCACGTTCCTCGTCTTCGACCGACTCCACCTCAGCTTTCGCTGCTTCTTGTACACTACATCTGATCGTTTTGATTCGTCGATGCTTGTCGCCGTCCTCGTTCCTACCTCTCTTTCGTTGATCGTCTAAGTGAAAGGGACAACCAACCGGTAGACTGTTATGAGTGATGTTGCTTTTTCCTCGGCTAGCAATCAAACCTAGAGGTGGTACCTCAGAGATCGAGACTTAACTGCGTCATGACTGTTGAACTGACGCCCTGCCGATCAAACAATCGAGATTTTAACTAAATGCACAGTTAAATTTGTCGTTCTCGTTCCGTGATAGGGGTCGGAAAAGTTGTCGTCGCTAGCCACCGACCAATGGTGCACAGGAGACAACATAATCGCTTTAAATCACCCCGTCTGATCTCGTTAGTAGTTTGTGCTGCACCATCGCAAACGCCGTACGAACATCCGATACAAAATCAATCTGCTTTCCCCGGCGGCCTGCTGTGGCTGCTGCAGCTATTTATGAATAAACTAATTAATTAATACGACGCCAACCAGCCATCTGCGGCCATGCCTCCTGGTCCTTCAGCCGTTTGGTGGTCAATCGGTGCTGATTATCACCGACCCAGTAGTCGGCGCTGTCCGTCTCGGATTCTTGTTGACAGGGACGTAAAACAAAGCGATAACTTTTTGAACCACATTTACAGTCGTTGTTGTGTGTTTGTAAACTTTGTGGGAGTGATCAGTGTGAAACGCTAATTTGTTTCGCTTTCTAAATAAGCGACTCTCTTATTGGCTGTTCTTTTTATATCCGTATCGATTTTCCTCTTGAGCTTCCACTAGGCCAGTTGATCATTCTCAAGGGTTAATCGTCATAAATGTTTCATAAATGCTTAATCCTGGCCATCAGATGTAAACAACTGATGAATAATCAACGGCTAGCAATAATTTAATCCGAAAACACAGCCAGTGTTAGCATGTAGATCGTTTAATACACAGCCTTGTCCCAGGAGACTATGGCATGGAATACTGAATAGATAATGACCTCTGCTCTACTTGGACGTGCTAAAAGATCGACAGACAACAAATACCCCTAGCGTGGCGCCAGTTTTTCTCACTTGACAAGATTTACTGCGCTTTTCCTTATTTCCAGACGCAATTTAGATAGTTTTGGCACCTGTTTCATCAAGACACAATCCTTACAAAAGTCTTAAGGGCTATTTCATAATTTTTTTCAATTATACAGGCAATTTGAGGTCCAATAATCAGTATTGTCGGAATTGTGACGCGTTGACACTGGCAATATTACTCAACTACATGTTAAGACGGAATGTGACCATACATCAGCTGAAATCACAGCTGTCGTTAAGTTGCTGGGGAAGACCATATTTGACATGAGATGCCCAAAGCCTTGGATCACCACAGTATGCCGTACCTGAAATGTTTCCTGTATTTCTGTGAGGGCACCTTAACAGTAGCAGTGTCCAGGTTGGTTGTCCACATGCTTAACGCAGCAAAAGGAAAGTTTGTAACCGTTGGGACGTCTGTCTTCCCTATATCCCATGACTGAGCCCTTTTGGCGCCCTTCTTTTCATGAAGTTGATGGTGGGACATTGATCTCTATTTACCGCATATCATCAGCCAGGAGTGCCTTGTTTTAAAGGCAGGGTAGATAGCAGCAGTTTGTGATAAACATTGTTTGTAGTCTTTTGTTTCCTTCCCACGTACCGGCGCTCACTTATCAATTTTGGAAGGAAGAATGGCGAGTAACTCCTATCGTTTTTCAAACGCTGGATCTCTCTGCTCCGATTCAGACACTACGGACTGAGCAACCCTGTTTTCAAGCAACATGTGGCAAATTGCTTTCTCAAGGGAATTTGTTGTTAAAACAAAGCTTCCCTCCGCCAAAATCGAACCGGCACCGCTGGAATTCGAAGCCGACCTCTTACGCACTCTACCACCATGCTACTAAGGCAGGTGATTACGAAAAATGCGCAGCTGCCGAGGCGCTTTTTAGTACAGCCCATACTTTAAAGTTGACACTGTGATTTGAAACGAGTAGACAGAGCAGCGGATTTGGGATAAACGCTGTCGCTTCCGTCCCGATGACAGTGTTTACCTCTCTGTCGGGTCTGCGACATGATTTGAAGATTCGAAGCAACCTTTTACCTGCTTCGTAGGAGTGGAATGAGGAGTAAAGACGCAGCAAGCCGATCGAAAGTGTGAAGGGTACTACGGGAATATGGGGTG